ACACACACACACACACACACACACACACACACACACACACACACGTCAAGGTCACCAAAACCAAGGAAAGTTTTAGAAACTGTCACAGCCAGGAGCAGCCCAAGGTGTGAGGACTCTGTCACACGGGATCCTGGGACAGAGGAGGAGGGCAGGTGGGGACCCTTCCTGCTCTGGCAGTGGACCACAGATACACCTGGATGCAGAACAAATCCCAAAGCACTCATCGAACAGGCCGGGGCTGGGCAGAATGTGCCCGGCAAGGCGATGCCGACCCGCTCATTTAAACCCCATGCTTCCCGGAGATACAGGGACAACGCTACAGATGCAGAAACCAGGCAAGGGGCGGCGACGTGACTCGCCACCACCCCGAATCGTACACCATACCGCGGGGGAGCTCCTTGTGGAACGGTCCGGGTCAACTTGATGTCCTCAGGGGGCTTTAGGCTTTTGTCTCCCAGTGCTTTTGCTAAACGCCAACCTGCTACTTCACATCTCTCGTTCCCTTTTCCTTGTGTTTGGACGCCTTGCGCTAGCTCAATTTTGCCCAGTTGTTAAAAAAAACTGCCTGAAGTTCTACATAACGACCAGGAGGGGGCACCAGAGGACCGTGGAATCTTGACCACTTATCCAACCTGGCCGCGCACAGTGGATGGATGGAGTTTATTCCTAAATTTTCCTTGGAAGGAGACAGACCCGTGCTTTCTGGCCAGAAGGGCACTGCTCAACACAGCACCTGCTGTAGAGTAGTTGGTAAATATTTCCGCATCTAGGAAGGGATTGACTGGACAGGTAGGAAGGGACAGGAGCCGGAGGGGCCTCACACGCCCAGCCCTTTTTAGTTTTTATTTCGAGACAGGGTCTCACTAAGCCCCGAAGTTGCCCAGGCTGAGGTTGAGTTTGTAATCCTCCTCAGCCTCCACAGTGCTGGGATGACCGGAGTATACCACCATGCCTGGCTTTTGAATCCTTACATTTGGGGTCATTTCTTCCAGCATCCACAGGGGCCGGACACGGGCAGGGAAAGGGAGGCAGCTGTGGGCAGGAACGGGGCTGGTGGTTGAACCAACGCTGGGCTAAGAGGGAGGGTCCAGCAGGGGAGTCAGTGGGGCTTAGGGGAGGCTGTTGGGTTTGGGGATTTAGAATCCAGATACTCAACTTGGAAGCTGTGTGGCCTTAGG